TTTACCTTCCAAACACCAAGGTATATAATACTCTCTTTTCTGTTCCAGGATCGACTATCAACGCTAGGCTTGTCAGCTGGGATTCCAGGAACGGGAGGCGGGTCGTCAGACACATACAACACAGGTAAGTACTTGTTTTTTGCGTATAAAATGTTTCTTTATTACACAATAGAATCCTTTGTTTCAAGTAACACCGATATATCACACGGATTACATATCATGCTGAACACTACAATGAGCTTGTAACTTACAATATGCGTTGTCACTTAACAAAATATTAATTATATAATATAATGAGCGACTAGAAATTCTTATTCCGCGCTTGAGGATCGTCACGCGTCCGATCTCTGCGCGAGTTCTTTTTTGACTGACTGACTACTCGTTGCTCGACACGTCGGTGCAAGTTCGCTTTCTCCACTTTTCTCACCAAAGTACCTTCCTTAGTAAGATACTCGTGTATGTCGTGAATGTGTGGAGTGTGAATATTACGTGTGCGCGAGTGTTTGACTGTGTGAGTGTGTTTTGGCCTAAGTGTATTTCTTAAGGGGTGTGTGCATGTTAAATGTGTTTTGTGTGAAGTGCTCGTACAATTAATTTATGTGTGTGTTTTTAAGAGGGTATGTTTGGCGTGTCAGGTAAGTATGAATGTGTGTGAGGTATGTATGGGTGTAACCAAAACATATTTCTTAGTGGGTGACTATGTGTATATTGTGTTGTGTGTGTTTAGTTAGTGTGAATGATGCATGTTTGGTTCACTAAGAGATATGTGTATGTGTGANTGTAATGTGTGTAACCAAAGTATACTTCTTAGTAGACGACTGTGTGTATATCATGTTGGGTGTGTTTAGTTAGTGTGACTGATGCATGTTTGGTTCGTTAAGAAATATGTGTATGTATGAATGTAATGTGTGTAACCAAACTGTATACCTTAACACGCTTTGGTAGTGTGTGTGTGACATGTGTGAAATGTGCATGTAGGTGGTGTATAACCGGTACCTTAAGGTAACGTGTTTGGTCATTGTGTGCGTATGTGTGTCTGTAAAACCAAAAACTGGTCCCTTAACGAGTTTTTATAGTACGTATGTGATGTAAGTAGTGTGTGTACGCGTGTGGTGTGTGAATGATCCCTTAAGGTGTTATGTTTGGTTGCGTGTATGTTTTCCCGGGGTACTTTTTTTTTCACGGCTCGCTGCCTCCGCGTCTTACCACAAGACAAACTAAAACAAACGCACTAAAATAAAACTAACAACAATAAAATAAAAATAAAACAAAACTTTCCGCTCAATCCATTGCCTGGATTACGTACTAAAAATAAACTTTTTTGTTGTTACAAACTTGAACACTAAACTAAACTTACGAACAACCTACGGCTAACGCTTACCGTAAAATAAAACGTCTTACTTAACACTAAAACTTATAACTAAACTCTAGTATCTTTAGGAGCGATCCATATTNTAATGTCCTCTACTTCACTTTTCCTTTTCTCATTCCGCTGGGTCCTTTTCCTGGTCCTGCTTTTCCTCGGATCCGGTTTCTGATTCTAGCGACAGGAACTCCAAGGAGTTTTCCTCTCGTGCCGCCACAGAACCTTGGTCTCCCACGGCAGTTGTTTTTTCCTGCTGTGTCTGTCGCGTCTTTTCCGGCGCCGTGTCTACACCACCTTCTCTGGCTCTGCCACAGTGTCAGGTGACAAGGTGAGNTCAAAACGCGGTAGACANAGAGATAACGCAAATGCAACACGAGCTAGCCGGAGCTCGCGATTCCGGGGCCGCGGGGGGCCCAGAGTCAAATAGGCTGAGTTATGACGCCACCGAAGAAGTCCTACGTCAGGTCTAGCAGACATTAAAGGCAATAGACGCACGTGTAGACGCGTTAGGTAGGCAAATNAGGGAGCTACGCGAGGAAAGANTGCGTGAAACAGGTGCNCCNCTCACACGAAGAAACACACACGTACGCCCAAGCGAGCAACTCGATATCACGTACGGACGGACGAATGATGACATCGGGAACCATGTAGTAAACAGGAGTAAGCTACAATTGAAAGACGCAGTGAATTGAATACCAGCGTTTGACGGAAAATCAGCCGAACAGATACGCGAGTTTTTGAACGCGTGTGAGTATGCAACGGGAATTGCTAGCCCGGTGGATAAACCTGCTTTGTTACAAGCAGTGTTATGTATAAAGTTGCGAAGTCAGGCTTTATTAGACTTTGAGACAAAGAATGTCTGCAACTTCCGGCAATTAAAAAAGGAAATTGAAAACACTTACGCCGCAAAGAAAAGTGTTACTCATTTGCAAATAGATTTTAACACGTTATGGCAAAAGAATGGCAAAAGTGCACAAACATACGGCCAACGTGTAAATCAGATCGCCATGAAGTTGTATGGGGCCATAGTGGAAGATAGGAAGCACACTGTTGAGGAAAAACGTATCCTTATGAGCACAATCAAAGAGCAGGCGTTACGGCAATTCCAGATAAGATTAAAAAGCGAAATTAGAGTAATAATTTGCTCACGAAATTATGGAACTCTACAAGAGGCCATAAATGCGGCCAGCTCGGAAGGAAAAGTGACAGTACCTCACAGCGGTCAAGTAAAAAGTCAGAATCCGCAAAATAAAAAAAATATAATAAAGACACGTGTTTTAAATGCAGAAAGCACGGACACTTTGGTAGAGATTGCCGCGCAAGCAAAATGTCATTGCCAAAAGCAGGCGGCAGAGTAAATGCCGTTGAAAAATATTGCAATTATTGCAAGAAAACAAGACATTTCAGTGAAAATTGGACCCTGGACCCTGAATGAGAAAAAGTATCTAGAAAAGAAAATAAAGGATACATCGCATAAAAAAACAGGTAAAAAGCAGAATCAAACTAACAGCAGCGACTCATCTAAAAATGATAAGGATGGAAGCAACAAGAAGAAAAAGGCTAATAACGGTAACAGAGCTTCAACTTTTCTTAAGGGGGACTTCCGGGGCGCGTGCGGGCGGGGTGCAGGGCCTCCGCCTCTCGCGCGCGACTCCGAGGTCCAAACAGGAGCCCTTCCTGATATCGGTCCCCTCCCCGCTCTTAGTGGGAAGGGATACTGGGGCAGTGTAAGTTAGGAGAGCCTCGCTCCCCCGTCATCTCGCCGCCCCAGCGAGGCAATTACTTAGGACGAAAGGAAGTCGCAACAGCCTCCCCAAGTAAACTCGTCACCCGGGGAGGGAGTGTACCTGTTGCGGGAATCGTGACGAGCCGGGGTGGGGACCCTGGCTCGTCCTGCACGCGATTCCGGAGATGGGACGACGCGGCGGCGTGTGTCCCGCTGTGCCGTCGAGATCCGTGATGATAGGGGAAAGACGCAGAGTCTTCCCCCGACAAGATGGAGTTAACTCGAGGGAGGGCTTAGAATTAAATCGTTACACAAAGGTACCGGGCCTTCCTTTAAATGAGCAAAGAAGGCACACCATAAGAGTTTTAGTGGGTATACTCTTCCTGACCTGCGGGCCAGAGAGGGGAGTCCCACATAATCCCGGCCTTATTCCCCGAGGGCCGGGGTATCCGTTGTTTCCATTTGGTTGCGTAATGGATTTCCCCTATAATAAAAAAAAAAGTTACTATAGTCATAACGCAGTTGGCCGTAAGACTAAAAGGAATGCGGCGGGTGCAACAGGGTCTCCGGCCCCTGTAGCCCGACCCACTTCTGCGGCTCTTCCGCCGAGCGGACAACCCCAGAAAGCTGAGAAAAGAAAGCGGCGGGTCAAACTCCGGGCTTCCACAACTTCCGCAGTCGTAGTGGCCAGGAATCCGACTGTTCCCGCCTTCATTGAACTAATGGAGGTGTCACATCCGTGGACATAAAAATATTAATTATTATTATTGTGGCGGTCAGAATAACCGCCACCAAAAAGTAAAGTTACGTGCGGCAGGACGCGCGCAGTTCGCGCGCCGCCGCTACGTGGCGCAGAGCCGCGAGTGTCGCGCGGAGGCGCAGTTTGCCGCGGCGTCTACATATGTAGACCCGTTCGGCACAGCATTATGGCCGAACAGTGAGCGGCGCCGAAGCAGAAGACCAGCAGCATTAATCNCGAAGCACCCAGCAACGCTCCAGCGGTCCGGATCACTCGACCAACGCCTCCACAATCCCCAGGGGTACATCTCGGAGCGGTCTTCATCTCGGAACTATTTGGAGCGACAAAACCAGAGGCGACCAATCAGAAAGCGGAATCCACTGGACCAATAGAAGAGTCGTTCCGGCCGTGGATACTCCGACCTCACAACATACCCTCGCNTCGACGGACGCGGCCTCCCAGAGCCCTGTTAGCACAGTGGGACATCAGGGTTNGGAGATACACGTCGCCTAGAGACAGCCTGGTTCTTCCACCGCTCATCTCACCAATACCTTCTCCTCCACGCCAACAGATTCACAAGTCGACGCAGACGCTTCCCCCACNTCGCGTACATAGAGGGGTGCAGGGAGAACGACTGGTATATAAGGATCAGTCCACGCAGTCGAGCGACAGTGACTGGGAACGATCGCCAGGGAAAGCTATCTTTACAGCAGTACAGACCGAGAAGAAAACTACCTCCACAGCAGTACAGACCGAGATCACCGGCGAGATCATCCCGCAGCGTATACCGGAGAAGAAGCGGCAGCATAGAGAAAGAAGCCGTTCCAGACATTGATCACCCAGTACGAGGAGAGCTCGCTCCCGCAGCAGACGAGATTGATTACGGCATCGCAGAACCCGACGGAGAAATCCGGCACATTCAATTATACAAACCGGCCCTTATCAGAGCCATGTATACGTTGTAAATAACTTGTAAATAGCTCCAGAATAAAAACCATATTTTTGGAACATCAAACCTTCACTACAAAGAACCACACCTCGGCCGCCATCCTTTTGCTGCTATCACCATTGCTGCTGTGTCCACTATCGCTGCTGACCTAAACGCACAACCCCACTAAATTGGTGACCCCGATACGGAACACAGGAAGCACCCGATGAAGACACGAAGCATGGCAAAAGCAAAGGACAGTGCAGTACTTAGCGACGAAGTGGAGTGCCCAAGCAACCGGATAGGAATACGCATTCCAGCCTTTTGGCCCAAGGACCCAGAATTATGGTTCGCCCAGGTAGAAGGACAGTTTAGTGTAGGCGGCATCACCGACGATTATACTAAATACGCCTACGTCGTCTCACGACTAGAGCCAAAACAGGCTCGCAAAATAAAAGACGTCATTACAAGCCCCCCCGAAGAAAATAAGTACGAGGCAAGTAAAAGAACGCTAGTACAAAGATTAACTGACTCGAGGGAACAACAAATCCGGAAACTTCTGGAGCAAGAAGACATAGGTGATCGCAGACCATCACAATTTCTACAACACATATCCACACTAGCGGGAACAGCAGTACCAGAGGAGCTGCTACGAACCCTGTGGCTAGCAAGATTACCACCGTAAATGCAAGCAATCTTAGCCATGCGAAATCAAGACAAACTAGAGGTGGTGGCAGAACAAGCAGATCGCATACATGAGGTCAACAGCAGAGCAGTAATACTCGCATCAACCTCATCAGCAGTACCTGCTACAACAGCATCACCGATCGAAACACTCACAAAACAGGTAGCTACGCTCACACAAAAAGTAGCACACCTACTAAGAGACAACAGGGGCCGATCTAGAAGTCGGTCGCGAACACGAGGCACTTCTCAAACAAAGCCTGTTCAAGATGGAGTTTGTTTCTATCACAGGCGATTCAAANAGAAAGCCAAGAAATGTACGCAGCTATGTACATTTGAGGGACCAAAAAACGCAAATGGCAGTCATTGAGGGCGGCCAATGACAGTAGCCCAGAACACCGCCGCCTATACATTGCAGATCAAGCCTCTCAAACGAGATTCCTGATTGACACAGGATCAGATGTCAGCATTTACNCTCAGCATTTGACACAAGAGAGATGGACAGTTCAGCCATGCGAGCTNTATGCAGCAAATGGCACAAAAATAAGGACCTACGGGATCATAACTCTCCAACCAGACTTAGGCCTTAGGAGAGCATTCCCATGGCGTTTTGTGATAGCAGACGTCACACATCCCATTATAGGATCCGACTTCCTAGCATACTACCACCTCTTACCGGACATTAGTAAGAAGAGGTTACTAGATGGGAAGACTAGACTTTATGTCTCCGGCACTACCGCTTACGCCAAGACACCGTCCGTAAAAACTATAGCACACAACACACGATTCCACCAAATACTGACAGAGTTCCCAGGAATCACACAACCGCAAGGTGCGAGGAAAACAGTAAAACACAATACCGAGCATCACATTACGACAACACCTGAACCACCAGAGGCATGCCGACCACGAAGACTAGCACCACAAAAATATAAAGCAGCCAAGATAGAATTCGACTTATTATTGCAAGAAGGAATAATAAGTCCTTCAAAAAGTCCGTAGGCATCACCGCTACATATGGTCCCAAAGAAAGACAACGTCTGGAGACCATGTGGAGACTACCGCAGGTTAAACGCGAGGACGGTACCCGATCAATATCCGATCCCGCACGTAGAGGACTTCACACATACCCTCCATGGCAAGAAAATTTTTGCCACAATAGATCTGATCCGAGCTTACAATCAGATCCCGGTACATAAGGCGGACATTCCGAAGACAGCAATTACTACGCCATTCGGGTTGTTTGAATTCAATTACATGCCGTTCGAACTAAGAAACGCAGCACAAACCTTCCAACGTTTCGTTAACGAAAGTCCTACACGGCCTTGATTTTTGTTACGCTTACATCGATGACATACTCATCGCATCCACAACTGAGGANGAACACATTCAACACCTCAGACAAGTATTNACCCGANTGGATGCTTACGGCGNTAAANTTAANCCAGCAAAATGCATCCTCGGGNCAAAGCAAGTAAACTTCCTGGGATACCTTGTCTCAGCGGAAGGCATTGAACCACTTCCAGACAAGATAACGGCCATAAAATCATTCCCAAAGCCAAACACGGTCAAGCAGATGCGGCAGTTTTTGGGAACGCTAAACTTCTACCGCCGATTTATCCCAGGAGCTGCAAGAGACCAAGCTATACTCAACGAAGTGCTAAAAGGACCAAAAGCTAAAGGCAAAACACCGATTCAGTGGACACCAGAGCTTCAACAGGCTTTCGAAAACTGCAAAAACAGCCTTTCAAGAGCAACATTGTTAGTCCATCCTGATCCTAAAGCCGAGTTAGCAGTCACTACAGACGCGTCCGATACAGCNATAGGAGCAGTAATACAACAGAAGGTCAACAACACGTGGCAGCCACTCGCATTTCTCAGCAAGAAGCTAAGTGAGGCTCAACAGAAATACAGCCCTTACAACAGAGAATTGCTAGCGATCTACACAGCCATCAAACACTACAGGCATCTACTGGAAGGTCGTACATTCGTAGTCTATACGGACCACAAGCNGCTAATATATGCCTTCCAACAAGATTTATTGCGCAGTTCACCAAGACAAGCTCGACACCTGGAATTCATCGGGCAGTTTACCACCGACATTCAGCATATAGCAGGCAAGGACAATGTAGTGGCAGACACTCTCTCAAGAATCGAGGCGATTCACAAAGCAACAAGCACAGAAGAGTTAGCACTGGCACAAGAGGAAGATACCGAACTAACGGACATACTGAAAACACAAAAAGGACTTAAACTGACGAAAGTTCCGGTACCAGGAACTACGATCAGCCTCTATTGNGATACAGCTTCACCAATAATACGGCCCTACGTACCAAAGAAGCTCCGTCATCAAATCTTCCTATCGTTACACAGTCTATCACATCCCGGTACAAAAGCATCGGCCAAGTTGGTCATGCAAAAATACATATGGCCACACATCCAACAAGATTGCATCAGATGGGCACGAGCGTGTATCCCATGCCAATAATCAAAGGTTACCAGGCACAACCAAGCACCGATCGGGGACTTTATGAGACCAACACGACGCTTCGAACATATCCACACGGATATAGTAGGACCACTACCAGTATCACAAGGCTACAAATACTGTCTTACTATAATAGATCGATTCTCAAGATGGCCTGAAACAATACCCATTCGAGACATCTCAGCAGAAACGGTAGCACAACGCATCTTTACCCAGTGGATATCAAGATATGGCACACCTCTTCGGATCACAACTGACCAAGGAAGGCAATTTGAATCAGACCTATTCAAACGACTAGCGCAGTTGACAGGTTCCACGCACTTGAGGACAAATGCATACCACCCGGCAGCAAATGGGATGGTAGAACGATTTCATCGACAACTCAAGGAAGCCATAAAATGTCATCAGACAACAACCTGGTCAAAAGTCCTTCCAATAGTTCTCATGGGAATCAGAGCAGCCTGGAAAGAGGACTTACAAGCAACACCAGCCGAGATGGTTTTCGGAGAATCCATTTGTCTACCCGGACAGTTTTTGTGCGAACAGAAAATTGACAGCGAACCGGACGACTATATAGGCAACTTACGGAAAGCCATGCACAACTTACAACCAACAGTGAAGAGACACAGACAAAATCCTATATTCCTGTTCAAAGACCTCGCAGCAACATCACTCGTTTTTATCCGCCACGACGCAACACAGACAGGAGCACTACGATCACCTTACGATGGTCCATACAAAGTTCTAAATCGCGGCGAGAAAACCTTCAAAGTAAAAGTCAACGGCCGGGCAGTCAACATTTCTATAGACCGGTTAAAACCAGCATACATCCTTCAAGACAAAGATGAGTTAAGCAACGACACACAAAGCAAACCTCAGCAGCCTGCACCAGCACAAAGACGGTCAAGCAGAGCTACAAAGCCAGTAGTTCGTTTTCAACCAGGACTTACCCACAACCAGGGGAGTCCTGTGGCGGTCAGAATAACCGCCACCAAAAAGTAAAGTTACGTGCGGCAGGACGCGCGCAGTTCGCGCGCCGCCGCTACGTGGCGCATAGCCGCGAGTGTCGCGCGGAGGCACAGTTTGCCGCGGCGTCTACATATGTAGACCCGTTCGGCACAGCATTATGGCCAAACAGTGAGCGGCGCCGAAGCAGAAGACCAGCAGCATTAATCCCGAAGCACCCAGCAACGCTCCAGCGGTCCGGATCACTCGACCAACGCCTCCACAATCCTCAGGGGTACATCTCGGAGCAGTTTTCATCTCGGAACTATTTGGAGCGACAAAACCAGAGGCGACCAATCAGAAAGCGGAATCCACTGGACCAATAGAAGAGTCGTTCCGGCCGTNGATACTCCGACCTCACAACATACCCTCGCCTCGACGGACGCGGCCTCCCAGAGTCCTGTTAGCACAGTGGGACATCAGGGTTCGGAGATACACGTCGCCTAGAGACAGCCTGGTTCTTCCACCGCTCATCTCACCAATACCTTCTCCTC